GTGCTTTATCTAAGGTGGTAAACGGATAAACCCTCGGCCTTGGAATATTAGTAAGTTTTATATAAATTGTGGTTTGTTATCATTTACATTTTGATCTGATTTCATACAAAACGTATGTTAATTATTATGTCAGATTTGAATGTGTTAGGTGCCCCAACGGCAACTGACTGGAGTAAATGTTTTCTTTGCTAAACAGAAAAAGAGAAAAAGTTAAAATCACTTCCTTCCAGATATAAGGCTAGAGAAGGCAGAGACGGATATGTCATGATTGCAAGAAATGTTCCTTTATTCAAGGACATTAACAGGTCACTAATTTTACTTGATGCTGGAACATTAGACAAAGGAGACGGAATAAAGAAAACACTCCGCAAAAACCAAGCAAAGTATTACCAAAGTTGCAGACTAATGTTCAGCTGTAGCAAGCTTGAAAGAGCAACTAAAAGGGTAGCATCCTCAGGTTCAACAGATGTGACATTAAAAAAAAGTAGAGAATTGAGTATCGAAAAGTAAGTGTGTTTTCTTTGTGAAAATACAGAATCATGGGCAGATCTTCGATTAGCTATGACAATGCAGCTAGATAAGAGATTAAATGAATGTGGGAGAACATTAACTGACGGGAAGCTGTTAGCACGGTTAAGTGGAGGAGATGTAGTAGCCCAAAAGTTAAAGTACCACTGTTCTTGTTTAACAGCACTCTAGAGAGAGTACAACAGAGAGAGGGCATTTCTAATAAAACTAGGGGACCAGGTAAGTCAAACAGTTACAGAAAAAGAAGTGGTCCCTCAAGTTTTTTCAGAGCTTTTAGTACATTTAATAGAGACTAAAACAAGTTCAGCTGAACCTGTGGCTTTTCGGCTAGCCGATTTAGTAAGTCTGTACTATCAGCAATTACAGCAACTTGGAGTCGATGATTATCATGTCAATTCAACGAGACTCAAAGACAAACTTTTAGCAAAAATACCAGAACTAGAAGCGTACAAGAAAGGCAAAGATGTCTTATTGGCATTTAAAGAAGATGGTGGAACAGTTCTATCAAAGGCAGTCAACTACACCAAAGCCATTATTATTACAAAAGCAGCAAAAATCCTTCGCGAGCGAATGATGGACCATAAATCATCATTTACTGGAACCTTTAATGACAACTGTGTCAAGGATTTGATACCACCTACACTTCATAATTCGTTTCCATGATCAAACATGGAGCTGTCATAAAATCCCAATTACGACTTAGACCAGTGCTGTTATTAAAGGCAAAGGTGGAGCAATCAGTACCACGGAAGATCCGTCGGCTCTCAGACGATGGATGGTTGCTGGTGCCGAGGTGAGCCATCTCGTTAGTACGTATGAAAAGATATCAAATGGCAAAGATGATAATGAAATGCAACATCATGAGCAGACCACCCATGCACAAAAGATATTTCTGGAACGTGTAAACAAATTGTACAGTACTGTTACTGAGATGGGAAATCCGTTCCTTGAAAAAACAAATTACTTTTTGACTCTAGATACCAAACGAGTTGCTCATCCAAGTATGGCGGAGAAAGTTGCTACTCATTACGAGACAAGAAAGAAACAATTTGAAGAATTTATGGCAAGTCTTTCATCTGACTTCGAGAGTAATTTCTACGAGCCTATAAAGAAGAACAAGGTAGACTTTTTCAGTCAGCCAGAACAGACAAACAAGGATCTAAAACAAAAGAACCTAAAAGATGGCTGCGCATTATTTTCCAAGTTATTTATATCCTGTCAAGCCAGAGAATGCGACCTAAATGACTTCTTTCAACATGAAAACCAAGCTTTTCCGGCTGCATTGAGTGACTCTGGGAGATTACATTCATGCCAAAATTTTTCTCCATGCCAAAATTTCTAGCTGGCAACAATTATTGGCGAAGCAGTCGTTAACTCAGACAAACTACCAAATACCGAAGCTACTATAATGGATGGGTCAGCTCTTGTGAATTCACTTATGCCCAGAATTTTCAAGACGTTTAATGAATATTCCAGACTTGTCATTCTGAAAGTTCAAACATAAATTTTAAAGTATGTTAGAACTGATGTTGTGTTCGATGTGTACAAACCGTTGAGCATAAAAGCAGAGACTAGATTGAAGCGAGGCTTTGTAGCACAACAAAGGGTTATAGGAACTGGAAAAATCTGACATTTTTGTGATTGCTATTAGTGTTTTCCATAGTCTCAAAGAAATGGGTTTAGAAAAGCTTTGGCTTGAGTTCGGTCACGAGAAAAATGTGTAATGGATACCTGTGCATGATGTAAGTAATAAGTTGGGACATAACAAACCTGCTGGTATTTTATTTTTCCATTCCTTTTCTGGCTGCGTTATCGTGTCAAGGTTCAAAGGCAAATGGAAAAAATCAATATGAAAAACGTGGAGTGTCTGCCCTGATATGACCAGTGTGCTTCGGAAGTTGAGTACCTATCCCCCGGTAGTGGATGGTCATGATATCGCTATGATTCAGATATATGTTGTTTCATTGTATGACAGGTCTAGTCCAGTGGCAAGTGTTGATGAAGCAAAATTTAATATGTTTGCCAGGAAACAACTTTCATTTGATGCTATCCCTCCAACAAAAGCGTCACTGATTCAACTTACCAAAAGAGCAGAATATCAAGCAGGATGCATATGGAGTCAGGCATCGACATGTTCAATGGAAGAGGTAAGTCCATTTGATTGGGGCTAGAAGCTAAAAGAATGATATATGGACAGTTGTATGGTCCGATCTTCCTCCAATTGCCGAGTCATGCAAGCAGCTTATAAAATGAGGATGTAAATGATGTCAGTGTGATACATAATCATTTTTGAAAATGTTTTAATATTGTAAAGAGTTAAACCTAAAAAGCCTGGATGTTTCTTAAGAAAAAAAAAAAAAAAAAAAAAAAAAAAATATATATATATATATATATATATATATATATATATATATATATATATATATATATATACTTTTTTGTTTTTGTTTTGAATGGTCAAGGATTGAACCGATTTGTAAATATCTATATATAAAATGACTTTCTATAGTTGTGTTTTAAACGAATTTGTAGATTTAAGACGATAGAATGATAATCGTCACAGGTATTGTGACTAGTTTGATACTTTCTACGACAGGAAATTCCATTCCTAAGTTTCTAGAAGGACGAAATGTTGATAATATCAGAATGTGGTGGTTTTTTATCCACCATTTTGAATTCAAAATGGCCTCCGACAACTCCATGTTGATCCAGAATGTATCTCTATGTTGCAAAAAAATATATAGCAATTTCATGTCGAGTTATGGGTGCTTATTTGCAACTTATGTGCTTTAAATACATTTAATCGTTTAGTTCCATAGGAATTTTAGTTATCTACTTAATGATGAATTAAAAATAATCTACGTGAAATTATATTTGATTTTGCTTATAACTTTATTTAACATAGGTTTATTATCCAACAGTATTTAAAAAATTGTTCGCAATTGAGATTTTTAAAATTAAATTGTATCATCAGCAAGTTCTTTACTGATTCAGGCAAAAGTCTATTCTCTCATCAGTTTAAATGCTGAAAATTCTTTTTGTATTTGCAATGTTCGCTGAATTCGCGAAAAAATTAGTAAATATCTGGTATTAAGTGAAGATATTTAAAAAAAAAAACAACATCTCTAACAAATCAAATCACAATCAACAATTAAACTAAAATAGCTTTTTGCTTTCGCCAAAAATTATTATTTTTGAACTTTTTTTAGTATCACAGCACCAGCAAATTTTTTTAAAAAAGAGTATATATTTTTATATTTTTTAGAAAAAGTAAGAGTGCATATTTTCACTCGTTCAAAAAGAGTACATATACTCTTTAAAGAGTACGGTTAGTAATCCTACATATATGTATATGTATATATTTATATATATATATATATATATATATATATATATATATATATATATATATATATATATATATATATATATATATATATATATATATATTCATATATATACACACTCATACACACAAACACAAAACATACAAACATACTCGTACATACACACATAACGTTAATAAATTTATTTTTGTTTACAAAAATAAACAACAATATAAGTTTATTTTGGTTTACAAGCATAAATAACAACATAAACATAAACAACAACGTAAATTCATTTTTACAACCATAAACAACTAACGCACACGTACACAGACACACGCACTCTTTCTCTCATTCGCACTCTTTATCTCTCTTTTTCTCTTGCACGCATAAAGTTAATAAACTTCTTTACAAACTAGTTTACAAACATTGTTTTTTAACTAAAAAGGACATTTTTTACATTTTTATCAAATAATCAAATTATAATGAGCAAGTTACTAACTAAATGTTATTGAAGCGCAAAATCGACCAACTTGTGTTATTGTCTGACAATGTTGTTGCCAGACAATAACAATTGTGTCAGTGACAACATTTCACTTCCTTCTTAATCATTTTTTTTATTATATGCCACTATACTTTAATTTAAAATTTTTTTTCTAAATTTAATTTTATTATCAAATTTATTTAGACTTTTCTAAATGCTATACTTATGTAAAATACTTATTATATAAAAAAAACTTACATAAATCTTTTACAGTGCCGTGCCAGACAGCTGGTGGGCCTCCCCCCCCCCCCAAAAAAAAAGTGGGTTTTTGGCCCCATTAAAAAATTGAGATAAAAGACAGAACATGTTGGTATTACTCATTCCACATGCATGATCAGATAATTTTAAAGCCGTTTAGCTCAGGTGGTAGAGTGCTTGTTTCTCTAATCGAGTCGACTTAAGAGATCCGGGTTTCAAAACACCCTCTGGACAAGATTTATACAACGGTTAGGAAGGAGGCGTGAACTTCTTAATAAATGCTTTTCCACTGTTCTCTGTGAAAAACTTCTTGGAGCACCTAAAAACAAATTATTAATAAAAAAGATATAGAAACTTGATTTTTTTTAACTGCTTGCTACAAAACTTTATTTACAAAGTGTTATTCAATGAGGCTCAACTAAATGCTTTCGACGAACTTTTGAGTCTGAAAAGACCTCAATAAGGTGGTCACAGTTTATCTTCCGGGCGCAATAACTTTCTATTGAGAGTATGGCTAGAGAAGACAGCCGATCTTGCGTCATTGTTGAGCGATGGAAATTTTTGATAAGTTTTAATTTACTGAAGCTTCTTTCAGCAGTTGCTGCTGTCACAGGGCAAGTCAACAAAACACGGAGTGCAATAGCGACATTAGGATACACCTCCTGGAGACATTTGCTGTTGATATAATTCAGAAAATGTATTGCAGTTTTTAGCTTTTCATCGTTTTCTAAAACTAGATGAATAAATCGTTTTAATTCCATCTCCATTTCAAACGGATCTATATCACCCATTTTATTGTGAAAATTCTGGCACTTCAGCAAAAGGGTGTTGTCTTTGTATGCTTGAAAAAGACTTTTCTGATTGAACAGAAATGAAAATACAGCAGCCACATCATGTGTTTGTTGGAAACGCTCCTGTACAGATTGTAAAGCTTGGTCCACAAGCACAAAAAAAAAGTCAGTTTTGAACTGTGATTGGGGTGTTTGACTACCGCTTTCGTCGTCTCCTTCATAATCAAACAATTTTTCTTCCTATTGTTGCGAATTGATGGAAAATTTCTTGGAATATTTAGTTCTTCTGCAATTTCACGGGCTGTGGTCTCAGCACTTGAGAATCCATTTTCTCGATACTTCTCTAAAAATGCCTCAGTTGCTCTGATTTCATTTTCCATAACATCTAGAGAAATACCAAAGAATTGAATGAGCTTGCTTGTTTTATTTACTTGAAATAAAATTTCATACCAGATGACAATAGACAAAAGAAATGCCCAGTCTGAAATATATGTTATCAATGACCGAGCCTCCGTAGCTGTTTTTCCATCTTTTTTTTCTATTGCATACTCCTCCAGTTTTTCCAGTGCAATCAAAACATTGCCAAAATAATACCGCAGAGGTTTAATACAGTTAATTCGACTTTCCCATCGAGTGTCCGATTGATTTTTAACAGCAATCTCCACATGTTCTTTCAAAATGCTCCAGCGCTGTGTGGATGATGAAAATATGGTGTACAATCTGGACAGAACACCAAAGAATGATAAAGCCCTAGTTGACGACTTGGCACTGTCAACCACAACTAAATTCAAGCAGTGGTTAGCACAAAGCACATACAGAGCTTTCGGATTTGTTTGTAGAATTTGTGACTGAACACCAGAATTCTTCCCTTTCATATTAGAACCATTATCATACGACTGGCCCCGACAGTCTAACATATTCAGTTTTAACTCCTTTGCTCGCTCTAAAAATGTGTCAAAAAGCCCTTTTCCTGAGCTGTCACTAACTTGAAGGTATCCAAAAAGCTTTCTTTTATTGTGACTTCATTACCTGTATCACACTCAACAAAACGCAAAATGACTGTTAACTGTTCTTGGTTAGAAACATCTGGAGTACAATCCAGAATTATCGCATAGTACTTAGATATCATTAGTTTTTTCAGGTTTTCTTTTTCTACTTCTTTTGCAATAAGTTGAATTAACTCATTCTGGATTTTGTTGCTGAGGTAGTGATCATGTGTTTGTTTTTTTTTCAATCCTTTTTTGTAGCTCGTTCAGTACGGGATCTCTTTTTGCTAATAGCTCAAACAGACCCAAAAAGTTTCCATTGTGTGGTGAGCCAAGTACTTCTTCGGAACCTCTAAATGCTAAATTTCTTTCTGACAGGAACTTTATAATGTCAATAAGACGCTGCAGGACATCCCTCCAAAATTGCCTTTCTTTAAGAAAAAGCTGCATTTCTTGTTTATCTATGGATGAATCATTATTGATACCCTCTTTAAGCTGCATCCATTGTCTAAAACACTTTTGATGGGATATTCCTGTTTCATGGTCTTTTAACTTCTTTGATAGTCCCTCCCATGTACTAGTACCACTACGAAACGGACTTTCATTTGTTTCAAAAAGTTTACAGCAAAAACAAAAAATCTTGTCAGATTTTACCGAATACACAAGCCATGAGCGAGGCACAGTTTTTCCATTAATCATCACACGCTTGTAACGAACCGTTGAAAATCGACGCCTTGCAGCAATATTGTATAGAAAGTCAATATCAACCTGTTGAGGACCACGTTTGACTAGGTCACATCGTTGAGCATCAGAAATTTGTTCAGGCCAGCTGGCTGGGTCACAAGCAACGGAACTAAACGGTGGCAATGGTAGAGTGTACAACTTTTCTATTGTGTTAGGTTGATTATTCGCAATATCTAACTGTTCATGAATGACCACTTCATTAGAGCAATTTTTTTCATTGCTGGTGCAATTACTTGGAATAGGTGTAAAGAATGATGTAACTTGGGGAAGTTTGCTAATTGCATCTTTTGTTCCTGCTGCCTCTTTTCCTTTAGTTGCACCTGACTTTGAAGGCTTCATTATCTAAAATGAAAAATAGATTTACATGATTTTTGTTCATAGTATTAGACTGTAATACAATATTTTAAATGTATACAATCTATAAAAACTATATATTATTATAAATAAGGTTTGGGTTTAAAAAGAAAAAAAGACTTTTTTTGTATGCACTTTGCATGCACACTTGTATGCGCGTGCAAATTATGCACAAGTATTTTTAAATACTTAACACAATGTTAACAACAGATAATTTTACATTTTTTTTACAAAATTTTTATAATAAATTCTTATGTTATTGGAAAAGAATGTGTATTAGGAAATCCATTTAAATATTATATAAAAAATATATTCTTATTAATGTTATAATCTAGTAATGAAAAAGCAAAAAGTATCATCCATTGCTGATAAAACTTAACCTTTAAAATGTAGCTTATATATTATTTACAAACTATATAAACAAATTATTTTCTGCTTACTTAAGTGTTTTTATGTAGACAACTGGAATCGTTTCTACAAATACAATACAATTAAAATCCTTGTATCTAAATACAAATAAATCCTTGCAACTAAATTCAATTAAAAAACCCGTGAAAAACTAGAGTTTGAAAAATGTGAATCAAATAATAATTTGGAGTTTTGTATACAAAAGTTTAACTAAAATTAAGTATAGATTAACTTAGCAATACAATTGCATATTTCTCAATAGGTTTAGCATAAACAAAAGCAAAACATTCTAAACAAAAGTTTAACTAATTTAAAACGTTCATTAACTCAGCAAATACAATATCATTTTCGTTAAGTTAAGCGAATTTAAAAAAATTAGAAAACGTTAATAGGTTTTAACATTATATTTAAAAAAAACCAATTATATCATAATTTTAATTTAGTCATCATCTCAAAAAAAAAATTTGCATACTGCATAGAAGGGCCCCTTTAAATTCACGGACCCCCCCCCAACCGCGGGGTTTGGGGGCTCTAGGCACGGCACTTTCGGCACTGATCTTTTAACAACATTTATATTTCGCATTTAGATTTCCTCTTGCGCATAATGTGCCCAGAATGTGGTTTTTTGGAAAAAAATTCATAAATCTGTGATTTGTTAATGAAATCATTTGGAAATATTAGTATATTACTTTTTTGGGCTGACGAATCTGATTCTAAGGTTAAATTTAACGTGTGTGCACTCTAACCCAGAGAATGAGGCAACGGTGGGGGAGAGAGAGGGGCGCCAAGAGTCATGCCCTTTTTTTAAATAACTTTCAAATAAACTGAAAAGTATAAATTGAAAAATAAATTTGTTTTTAAAAATTTGTCTTACACCACCACCACCCCCCCCCCCCGCCCCATAGAAATGTCTGTTTATGGAATATCATCAATTTATAACCAACTTCTTTAACTTTATCAGGATCAACTTTTTTGCTAACATTAACATGCTGATTAATGCTAAGGAGTATATTGAACATAGATAACAAAGCCGAGAAGCTATCTTGGTCTTCTGTTTTAAGAATTACGGAACAGATAGACTTTCTTTCTTTTGGACTAAAAAATCGATCTGCTATTGGTCCATTGTTAGTGTTACCACTACTAGAAGTAGAAGAATAAAGAAGCATTCCTGTTTTCTCACGTACATTTTGAATAACTTTTCTTTTTTCTGTCTTCAGAGCAGTTTTTACCTTTATGTCCTGCTCAGACCATGTATGAGTTTGTTGGCCCACAATGTGACAAAACAACTTTAGACAGTGGTCAAGTGCACGTAACTTTTGATGTAGAATGGCAAAAGGTTTTATATCTGATTTAACTATAGGTTTATGGCATTGTCCATGTCTTTCAGTATCTTTGTAGGAGATTTCGCCATTTTCTAGTTTTCTCCAAGTACTGAACAAATCATAATAGTTTTTATCTATGTTGAACCAATGTAGTATACATATCACGTCATTGGCATCACTTCTGGAACATTTGTAGTAGTAACAAAAATCTCCAGAATCACTCACCAATAAATCTATCCTTTTGCCACCAACCTTATCTCTGTTTTTAAAAATATTTGTAAATCATTTTTTGAAAGAATATGCTGAGTTTCATTTTTAGGCAGTTGACTCAGCATTGGTTTAAAATACTCCTTTACACTCTCCCTAGTTTTTTTTGTTTTCAATAGAATAACAGGGCTGGCAAAATTAATGGAGTTAGGGGTTGGGTTAGTCCAGATTACTTGGTTTTTTGAGTCTTTTATTTCAAGGGGACACCAAAATGAACAAACATAATTTGTTCCTCTTAAGTCTGCATCTTGAGGATTGGAAAACTGATGACGATAGTTGTAATTTTCAGATCCATCAAGTCCAAATTTACCCTCTACATGTATAGAACAAAACCCGGATATATCAAGTAGTAACTCAACAGTGTCTTTGATAACATTGTTCATAGAGGATGAAGTTTGTTTGTCATCACTACTCAATTTCTTTGGTAGCGAAATGCGTTTAAAGGTATCTATATCATTCCTTGTTGGCAACATTAGTTTTGGGAGAAGGTAAAGTCTCAGCTCTTGGGGAAATATATAAAACTTAAACTTACAATTATAAAAACAATTAATTACAACAGTATTTGATTGCATATTTTACCTGATATTTATTTTTGGATAGATCCAAGTTGTAGATTAAAGCAGTTGCTTCCTGTACTGATATTGTTGGAAGTTTTACTTCTTCCTCCTTGCCCCATCTTTTTTCACATCTTTGGACAACTTCTTTTAAGTATTCTGACTTATCTACTCCCTGTTCACTTGCATGTTTTTCCACGATGTCCACAAAATCATCCAGAATTTTGTTGTAGGTACGTTTTTCAGGTTGATCACTGAATTAAATGATAATGTATCAAAGAAAAGTGAAAAAATAGCTACTGAGTATCCAAAATAATATGATGCTTGAGAAATTCAATTAAATGTCAATAGCTAAACTTTTACCCTAGTCTTTTTGATTTCCGTCCTCTTTTAGCTTGTGGAGCTCCCTCTTCTTCTACATCACCCCTTGATGTTGATGATGCTGCTAAAGGTAGATTTCCGGGCAGTTTTATACCAACTTCGTTTCTTTAAATTTTCGATTCAGCCTCAAGTTTAATTTTTTTTCAACTTTGAATATTTTTTTACGTGTCTTTCAATTTGCTTTAAAATTTTTTGATGTAATTTGATGTAATCATTATCTAAAGTTAGATTATATCTTACTTTCACATTTTAAAATAAGCTTTGATTTTTCCAATGAACTTAAGGCATGCTATCGGAAAAATCTGTCCACCTTTTGCGGTGTGGTAAAGCTAGTTAAAGGTCGTTTTTGAAATTATTTTTTTGTGTATGGTAGTGTTTGTATAATAGAACATTTTGGCAGAAAAAAATAATTAAAAATATTATTTAGTATCAAAATGTCAACCGAGCAAACTAAACAAAGATTTTTGAATGTGGACAAAACCCTTAAAAAATCCAACTTTATCGAATAGAAAGTTAGCGAAATTGTTAAAAATATCAAGAAGAACTGTAAAAACTGTTCTTAAACGGTTTACAGAACTGAAAACTATTCAGAGAAAACAAGGAAGTGGTCGAAAAAAACGCAAAGGCAAATCCTAGAGCTCTCGAACGGTTGGAGATTTCATTGGAAGAACATCCTGATTGTATGATAGATTTTGAGCGAAAAAACTAAAGGCTTCCAATTTTTTTGTACACAAATGGCGACAGAGATTTGGATATCAAGGTTTTAAAGTAGTTAAAATGCCAAATCGCAACGATAAACAAAATTCAACCGCAATGAGTCGAGCTCGAAAGTTGTATGACAACTTGTTAACAAAACGTAATGGATTTGAAACGTAATGACGAAACTTATGTTAAAATGGATTTTAAACAAGTTCCTCGTAATTATGAAAATCAACTTTCACGGACGGTTCAGGAATACCTGTTTATAACATGCGACAAAATTGCTTTTTATATATATGTATATTTGATATATCAACAAGTTGATATATGGACTCATACGAACAATTAAAATCCAAATTTTAATTAATTTCCGGGGATAACCGAACTGTGAAGTTTTTACACATAAAAATAGAA